AACTTACTCTTGGTTAAAATATGCTTCTTCATCATCAGGTTGATGATGTGATTTATTATATATAAAAATTATTAATAAACTTATTTATTTTCCTCGTTAGATACAAATGATCAAGTCCATGATATTAGAATAATAAAGAGGGTGTGGGTGTGAGTGTGGGTGGCTGTGGGTGTGGGTGTGGGTATGGCTGAGGATGGGTGGGTGTTGGTGTGGATGTAGGTGTCGCTGAACAGAAGATGAACACCCACACCCACACCCACACCCACACCCACACCCACACCCACACCCATGCACCCCACCCACACCCAACCATCGAATCATACGAAATTAACTGATTCTTACAACAATATTGGTTGGGTTTATCATAAAACGAAAAAATACCCAGAAGCAGTTAAATATCAGAAGCAAGCAGCCAAAATCGGAGAAGCAACATTACCTTCAAATCATCTTCGTCCCCCTTCTTTGGAAACAAAAGCTCAAAGAAATTCAAGTCAAACAATCCAATGACCGGGATTCCGATTTAGATTTCACTGGATTTTGTCGGAATCCGATGAAAATCAATGATATTCTGCCAGAACTTCCTAATATCAAGTCGAATCCGACTTTCTCACTTCTGGTCACTAGATTCGCGATTATTTCCTATGGAATTCTGTTAGTATTAGCAGGATCAGAAAATATCTTATGGATCAGCTTCCATCTGAGAATAGAATAGCAGTGTGGAATAAATATGAGCAAACGAAATTTTTAAGATGTATGCGCGTGCAGTATGAGTCTATGAACGTAGTAAACACCTTCGCACTCACACACATTTGGCGCTATTTACTTTGTATGTAGGCATCACATTTTGTTTTTCAATAAACATATATGTCGTATCTATGGTTATTTGTTCCAAATCTAAATAATGTATCATCAAAAATGAAGACACTCCTGGTCAAAAGAGGGTATAAGTGTAGACGAGTGGATACCGTGATCAGAATCATCTCTACATACATCTACAATCTACTTTGAAATGTAATTAAGATCAATATTTCATTATGTACAACTTGTTCTCGTCTCGAGACAAATGATTCAGAAATTTGATTTCGATCTATAAAAATTTATTCCAAAATTGATATTCAAAAAATATATATGTTTGCAATGGTTAGACTGTGATGAATCAAAATAAAACGAATAAGTCATTAATTTCAAGATGATAACAATATTGAAACAACTGATTTGTCTCAACTCTAGTTCAGTCAACTCAACTTATGAAATATGATTTTTCCCTGTAAGGATAAACTAAATTTAAAAAGTCAATGTTTAGAAAAAAAAACGCGTAAAATCTCTTCAAGAATAATGAAGTCACCTTAAATTGGCATATATTTACAGTTTTTTTAAATATTTATCTGAACAGATCATCAATCAAGTCATTCTGCAAATGAGAAGCAAACGTGGATAGCTCAGAGATTGATTTAAACATACAATAGATATCTTTCAATGAAAGTCAAAGAGTTCAAATAGTAATTTTATTTTCATTGGCCGTTGATTTATCTATATTCTTTACCTTGATGATTCATTACATATTCGTGTATTATTAGAATTATTCCGAAGTTTTTAGAAAAAAAAACATTGAACATTCAATCAAGGCACTCTTTGGTTTTGAATAACAATTCTAAGTTTAAATTCAATTAATCTACAAAATTTCTTTTTTTCGACCTGAAATTTTGAAACTTTGAATGTCATTGGTTGTGAATTCGCTGATGACGAAATCCGAAAACAAACGAAATAACTGGATGGTGAGAGAATGCTTATGTTGACAAAATAAAGAAAGAACTCAGGTAACGTTGCTGCCGCATTTTATCAGCAATCTTTCCTCTGTTCTTTTTTTTCTTCCAAAATAGCCCGTCACATGGCGACAACAAGTAGCAAAACATCGTGTGTTATATGCAAAAAATCAAAAACCACTGTTAAATGTAGTGGATGTTCGAAAGATTTTTGCTTTGATCACATCAATGAACATCGTAATGAATTGAGCGAACAATTAGGTACAATTGAAGATCAATTTAATAATTTCAAAATTGGAATCGACGAACAAAAATCTGATCCACAAAAACATGAATTAATGAAACAAATTGATAAATGGGAACGTGAGTCGATCGAAAAGATTCGACAAGTAGCAAATGAAGTTCGTCGTGAACTATCATCATACATTGTCACATTTGCTACCGATCTCGATTTTAAATTGAAACAACTGACACAAAAAATTATTGAATGTCGTAAAGACAATGATTTTGCCGATCAAGAAATTCAGGTTTTCAATGAAGAACTTAAACGATTAAAAGATATTCTCAATAAACCACCAGATTTCAAGCTTGAATATGATTCAACATCTTTCGTCCATCAAATTCGTCTTAATATGAAAAGTAAGTCAAATATTCGAGTTAAAATCGAAAGAATTTTGCTTCATTTCATTTTTTTCGAATGATTAAAGTGAATTTTTTCACTATTCAAATTGTAAGTCATCACAAAACTTCCTACAATACAGAATTTCATAATGAAACTTCAACAAAATAAAACATTGAGCATCCAAGCTTTTTTTCTACAATCTTTGTCGTTGAAACAGACATTATGTGGAATAACTCGCAATATTTGCACAGGATTATTATTTTCAGTGAAACTTCTCAAAACTTTCTCTCGAGGTATTCAAGAACTCCACTTAAATATCATCACAATGTAAAGATAGTTATTTATGATAATGGAATATTTGATAAATCTTTTACATTTCTAATTAATAAAAAGAACTTAGATTGAAGTGTTTTGATTTTTAAGTAATGACAAATGAACATAATAATAAAGAATAGATTTTTAAAGAAAAGGCTATGCAAATTCTGTTGATCACTAAGTTCGAATCAGATAGGAAGTAAGTAGCACATAGCCACCTTGAAAGATATTGACAAAAATTTGAAAAATCTTATCGATCAATACCGAAAAAAACAGTTTCATTTGAAATATATGGAAAAATAGAATCAGGCGATATTCGATTTGTAATGGATTATAGTCGACTAAGCAAAACACTTTCAAAAATCAGGTCATTTTGAAATGTAATGTCTTTCAGAACACTGTAAGAATCTACAAAGCTCTAAGGTAAATCTTTGAGAATATTCTTTTCTCTAGTTTTATTCGATTTTATTATACTTAAACTTTGTTAGTTCAGAGTCTTCACGCGTCGAACTTTTTTTCGCAACATTAGACATGGTATAGAGTGGAAATGAATGAGAAAATAATAGAATTGTTTTTGAAAAGTGAACGAGACGAAAAGAAAAGTGACTCTTCAAAATATTAAGATGACTCTCTCATTTATGTTTCGAATTTCCATGCTCTCAACGGTCAATATCTTTCATGGGTGTGCTCTTGCGAGAGATAAATTTAAATCACTTCAGTCAAAATTATCTTAGAGAAGTGAACACTCCTTTGAGAATATCCTTCTCCTATCCAACTAAATAGAGATGCCCAGACGAATTTATCATTACGCAGACAACTACTTTATCATTTACTAAATAAGGAAAAACCTTGGATCTTTCCTTGACTACGAGATTAAATACAGGATTCTGAAAATCTTATTACAGATTTAGGATTTGCTAACTCAGAAAACTTTCATTTTTCCAGAAAAATTAATACCCATGCTCAAACAAAAGTCAAATGTGACCAATTTTTGATTAGTTCTGACTTACGTGAGGCCTGTACTTGACCAGTCCTGGAAAACTTAAAGTGAGTTCAGATCAAAGTCCGTCATTTTCAATTCCGATCAACCTTAAGTCTAAGAAAAGCTTCTGTGAAAGATAAAAAGTCTTTCAATGATAGTGAGATAACGATTAATATCGATCCTTAGATCGAATCCATGTAAATTGATTCAATCGGAAGACATAAAAATTTGATCTTGTTTCAGCACAACTGCTACGCAGTAGAAATTTGAATGTCAATGCAAAATGGATACAGCAAGGAGTCACTGTGGCTGGAGGAAACGGACAAGGTAGTGGAATGAATCAAATCTACGATCCAAGAGGCTTGTGTGTTGACAATGATCAAACTGCCTACATTGCTGACTACTCTAATAATCGTATTGTAGAATGGAAATCTGGTGCGACTAATGGTCGAGTTGTAGCCGGTGGAAATGGATCAGGAAATCGTCCTGATCAGTTGCATTCTCCGACCGATCTGATTATAGATGAAGAAAGAGATAGCTTGATTATTTGTGACTATGGTAGTAAAAGAGTAGTTCGGTGGCCTCGTCAGAACGGCACAAGTGGAGAAACGATCATCTCAAATGTTGGATGTTTCGGCTTGGCAATGAACGATCATGAGTTTCTCTATGTATCTGATTACGATAGACATGAAGTAAGACGATATCGAATTGGAGAAAATCAAGGAATAGTGGTTGCAGGTGGGAATGGACAAGGAAATCGTCTCGATCAGTTGAGTAATCCGACATTCTTTTTCGTCGATGGAGAACATTCAGTATTTGTAACAGATTGGGGTAACCATCGTGTAATAAAGTGGATGCCAGATGCAAAACAAGGCATCATTGTGGCTGGTGGTCAAGGTCAGGGAAATAGAGCTAATCAGTTATCATATCCTGGCGGAGTTGTCGTGGATCAATCAGGTACTGTCTATGTGGCTGATCAGTCGAATAATCGAATTATGCGTTGGTCTGAAGGAGCCACACAAGGAAGTGTTATTGTTGGTGGGAATGGTGAAGGAAGTGGGTCCAATCAATTAAATTGTCCCATCGCTTTGTCATTTGATCGAGAGAGTAATCTGTATGTGAATGATCGAAGTAATCATCGAGTACAAATGTTCAAAATTGATCAAGATTGATGATTTTTGAAAATTCACATTGCTTTAACGTTCTTGTGATACTTTGAAGCAAGTGATCGTACAATAAAATCATTTCAAATCGGATTATCTTATATCGATTAGTATAGGATCATGAATCATCTGAACCAAAAACCAATTTTCGTCAAGTTCTGTTAGAAAATTCTGTTTCGGATATACCGATATCATCCTAATGTTCTAATTTATCATCGAATTCGAACGTTGTTTTTAATAATTAGAAAATCGATAATTGCTGAAATGTTCCTATTAACTAGACAAATGTCAGAGACCACTCGAATTTCAATTCATCGAACGATGATTGAGGAGTAATGTTTCGTGTGCCAACGTTGGCAATTATGAAGAACATAAAACACCTTTTGTTCACAATGTCTCTTGTAGGTATGAAACACAATAATACAGAGATATTCTTTCGATAATTTGCCAAGAAAATCCGAAAACACTACTTTATTACTCAATCGCACATTCGGTTACATTTTAACTCTATGAACGACTTGTTTTGATTATTAATCAGATGTTTAATAGATTCATGCCTAGCACCTAGGGAAGGATTTATCGGTTTAGAGAAAATGGTCCATGTCTGAACTGATCAATGGCATTGTAAATTAATGAAATATTTTAGGCGAATCATTTGTTTGCTTGATAAATGCCGATGTAAGTGAATGAATATGTATCTGTATTGATGTGAGAGCAATAAGAACTACACATACACATACATCGACCCGGGATTTTTAACATCTCGAATGGTTGTATCATTTAATTCTACAATGAAGTTCACCAAAAAGAATTCGATAAATTTATTTGAATAACGTCTATACTATGTAAAACGAGCACAATGTTCGTTTTTGATATCCTCTGGGATTAAGAAAAGTAATCAATTATATTTACTTTTTTGTAGAAATCTATATGATAAATATCAATTTTATTTAAATTTTACATAGATGATCACTATATCTGGCAACCAAGCACTATCTGTCAATGACTGATTTATATAGATACTGGCTTTGTTTTTGTAAGAAAGGGTGCAGGTGTTGGTGGGTGGGTGTGGGGTGTGGGCAGGTGTGGGTGTGGGTGGGTGTGAGTGTGGTTGTGGGTGTGGATGTGGGTATGGGTGTGAGTGTGTGGCGTGTGCGGGTGTGGGTGGGTGTGGGTGAATGTGGGTAATGAGCAATCATTTACCCACACCCACATTCACACTCTTTTCGTTCTTAACTTTTCTCGTGCTCAACTTTCCTTGTGCTCATCTTCCACCAGTCCAATGTGCTTTGTTTGTCTTGGTTGATTTTGATTAGAATTCGAACATCGATCTGCATGGTTTCACCATTCTTATACATTATATTCATTGTTTAATATGAAGCTAAAACAAATAGAAAACAGGTGAAATTCTTTTTCAATGGTTGAATATGGGTGTATTTCACCATTTGATCGCTTTTCAACACGAAGATTTGCAAGTGAACAGCAATTATGAATAAATAGAATCTTTGTAGTTTTCTAACTTTCTTGGAACTTCAATAGAAAGGTTATGTTCCTTGATCAGTTGATTGACTTAGTTCGAAACTAACAGAATAATAACATCTATATAGATGCATTTAACACTGTTCTTAAAACTTGATTTTTTTCGTCTCAAATAATAATCGAGTAACGTTATTAAAAGATATTTATCAAATCATATATTCATGTTTACATTATCAAATCATTGAATTTTTATTCGTGATACGAAATTATTAAAGGTAAAATATTCATTTTAGAGATTTTATACTTAATGTTTAAATATTTCAAATGAAAACCTTCCAATTTTTCAGCCCTATTTCTATTTCAATAACAAAAAAAAGAAACATTTTAAATAACATGATTTTAATTAATCATAATCATATGTTGAGATCTGAGTCGTGTAATACTGTCAAGTATGGAGTCTATAGACAAATCTCCTATTGTTCGCCATGGGATACAATTCCTCAATTCATATAAGTCTCGATGCATAGTTGCTTGTTTTTTGGTTATCTTACATAGTCCTTCTCTTGAACGAAGAATACGACCCATATACAGCCATTTACAGTAAAATGGCGATACGTTAGTGAAGCCAATAATACGACCGTATCTATTATAAAATAGAACAACATGATGACATCTATACAGCATTTTACAGTCAAATACTATTTATAAAAGGTCACTTATTGTAACATTACGCTATCTGATGGGGATACTTTAGGATTGACCTAACTTGTATCTTTGTCGTCATAGTTAACGGAAGGACACAGATGAATTGCTGCTTCTAGATCCTATTCTTACAACCTAAGGAACAGTGCTAGAGTCTATACTGTGCAAGAAACGAGCAGTTCTTCTTCGAAAATATTTTTTTATTGACACGTTAAATATATAAAATATGGAAGAAAATGTTTACAATAGCTTACAAAAAGTTAAAAGGAAAAACATGTCAAACTTGTAAGGGTCATTTCAATTAGACGCTTTTTATATGGTGCAATATCGTGGATAAATCGAACTGCAACATGCACAGCTCAATGGTATGAAATAGAAAACATAATATCCATTACAATTGGTTGCAAGTACTGAACTAACTGAATACGATGGAGGACATAAATTTGCAGAATAACTAGCACATTGAGTACCAGCTGATGTTGCACCAACAGTTGATGAAAGAGTATCATTCTACTATGATGAATAATTTGTACTACAATAACCTGTACTAACAGGAAATGTAACCAATCGAGTTCCAGATAATCAAGTCACTTTATACCAACCAGACAAACCAGAATCATAAGGACAACATCCAGTATAGTTTGAAAAACGTGTTATATCATTGAGTGTATTGTAACTAGTACATTGAGAAGGTGTAAACTGATTGATGTTTAGATAGTTGCTACGAAAAAAAAAATTATATTTCATTCTTAGAAAAATAAAAACAAACAAATAAATTACTTACATGATGCCGCGTCAGTTGTCGAATTTTCTGATGATGTTGCTGAATTCATAAGAAAAATGAATAAATTAAATAAAAGTAGAACGATGATAATGAACTCACGTAACAATACATACAAAGTAACGATGATACCTAAGGGAATCGCAGTGATGACAAGACCAAGAAGTAAACCAAGTATATGACTTACAGTTATATATATTTCATACATGATTTCGATTTACTTTTAAATAACACAAAAATGGTTTATTGTTAAAGCAAGTATTTTATTCATTTTTACTTCATTTGATTCGTGTCTATTTGAGTTGTTTGCCAGGTTTGTGATAGTTTTGGTTGATAGATTGGTTATTGTATTTGTAGTTGATCAATATTATATTGTGGATAAACTTGAGAAATATACCTTGAAAATGGTACAATAAAATTGTTTGATGTCATAGATAATACTGAAGCACTTCGCAGTGATATTGGTACATCAATTCGTTGTGTAAGACCCTCATTATCCCAAGCAGTCATATTGACGTGTTCTATTTCGATCAGTATTATTTGTGTATGAATTGAATATAGAGTGAGTTATTTTTGTGTAACGAAAGTGAGGAATTTAGATTTTTCTTTTTACTTATATATTTGTTGCTTTGAAATAACAAAGCTAAAAATAAAATTATAAACAAATAAAAAATAATTTATAGATTTGTTTTTATAAGCCATTATTGACTTTACATTTGATTGTAAGAAACAGTTGAAAATTGAGTTTAATCATAGATCTATGAATGAAAGTAAAATATGCTCGAGTTATTTCAAAACGTGAGAATATGATGGAGCAAAGCTGTTAAAGAGAACATGATGAAAACAAAAGGTGAATTTATTTTTCAACGAAATAAATATTTTGTTATTGTTTCAGTTTGAATAGTTTTTCTATGAGTTAATTGATATAAAAACTAATATAAAATCGTGTTCAACTGAACATGACTGTTTTTATTAAGGGTTCGATTAAAATAAACTGATTGATGGTTCCGATCAGATGTATTGTTTGTGTTATATTCGAATTTTTATCTTTCTTTAATTGAAACATAAAATCTAAAGCTTCTTTCATAATCATAATTGGTTTTTTATTATTTAGCTGTCGATTAAATATATATGGAATTTTGGAAGAAAATCCTTCGAAAAAAAATTCTTTTATTTATTTGAATAAAATAAAGTAAATGAAACTGAAAAAAGTTCATTGTCTTTAATGTCAATGAAATCGGCTCAAAAATGTAGTACAGTATCGTATATTGCTTATAGATACTGGAGTTAAGTAAAAAAAACATAATAACCATTGCAATTGGTTACAGAAATCGAAATTATATATGATGGATGACATAAATTACCACTAACTTGTGCACAAACAATGCCTGATACACTTAAACCTGAAGTTGATGGAAACATGCCATTTTACCATGCTGGATATGAAGCACCACAAGATCCAGAACTAGCAGACATTGTGGCTAATCGAGTACTAGCTGGATCTATAAATCGATACCAACCTGTTGTAAATGATGGACTAGTATCCAACATACAACCAGTACAACTTGTGAATGTTGTAAGACGTATTGAATCCAAATTAGTAATATATGACGTGCATTGTGATGGAAGATTAACAGAATTGCTTGAAGAACCTAAACAGAAAATCTCAATAGAGTTTAACTCGATTCATACTTGACGAACTACTATTCGGTAATGCTGCTAAATTTTATCATTGAAATTGTTTATCATAGATTAAAAATAATCATATAACTATATAGTAGACTTACTTTTTTGTGCATATGAAGCGGACATAACAGCTAATGGGATACCACATATGATGAAACCAATAAGAAATGATATAATACATTGTGTTGTCAGATATTTTTTACATGATGCTGAATCATTTTCACTGTAAATAGATATATTGTATTTTAATATATATGTCACAATAAGATGAATCTAACCTAATTGAAGAATTGAAAATAAGTTCTTCCTGGGAAATTTGTGTTGGCCATGCTTGTATTTTTCGTTCATCGACAAGACTATACTGTGGATGACTTGCTGAAAATCATGGTGATACTGGAACAAAATCAGTTGTTGTCATCTTTGTTAATTAATGAGATTATTTAGTTGAAATCGTTCAAGCTTTTCAAATATTTTCTGATTGACTTCGACGAAAATTTCGTGATTATGCATGTAAAAATGAATGCTTTTTTTCAAAAATCTAGTTATCGAAATTGATATATATTCCATTCTCTCTTTCATTTTTATTTTCATGTTAAGACATTGTAGATCTTCACATAGTTTCAAAAATAAAAAAATATTCTTAACAAAAAAATGCCTAGCATGCATATAATTGACTTTTTTTTTGCTTACAAAACATTTCTTATTCGTACAAATGAAAACAAATATGTATTTGAATTTAGCTTTTTTTTTAGTTATTCGCCATTGATTCTATACTGTGTATAATGGTAAACAAAAAACGAAATTTAACTACGTTGTTGAATCATGTGATCACTACTTGTGTCATTTGTTGCACGAAACTTTTGACTTCTTAGTTTTGATTCAATTTCGAGTTGAAACCATAGAAAAATCATATTGACAAGATTGTCAATTTTTTAACATATTAAAGGCCTCATAATGAATATATTTCTCTTAATTATTACTCTTGTTTTTCTAGTTAACAGGGAGTTGTAAAGATTCTCAACAAAATTGACACATTTCACATTTCAGTCTAAGTAATTACCGCTGCTAATAACGAGACAAGCCATTCCTAGACTCTAAACACCTATGCATTATCTGAAAAGAGTTCCAGCTTGCATCTGATTATTGCCAAGATATTAGTGTGATTGAGAGTGTCAGAGCAGAGAAAATTCACAATCACACCCACATCCTTACCGATTTGGATTCCTTGACTTCGATTCGCTTTGGTCAAACTGTATAAATAACACTTATACATGCGAACACATGCCTATAAACATACACACATATAAACGCATTTTATTTCATATGACTCTTTCTTCAGTCAAAAGAATATTTGTAGATATTCATCATTCTTATCACTCACAAGTAGAGAGGTTGTTTTTTCTTGGTTATAATAACTAAATACAATAGCAAACAAGATAATTGATTCAATTATTTTCATATTCAGAATTTTTCTTCGATTCCTTGATAAAAAACAACGACAATCATTCTCGAATTAAATAATATCAATAGTGCGCCGCTTTGCTTGCGATGACAAACATTTTCAACTAACTTTGATAAATGATTCATTCTTGAAAGTAATGTTTTACCATTGCCGTCCCGTGAGAGATAAATAATCTGTCTTCTTTTTCGCGTTATCACTTTCGTTTTAGTTTAGATTTAAACAACATGTCTCACTTTTTTTCTTGTTGATTTTGTTAGCTGTGCTGCATCACACTAAAAATTAAAAGATTTAAGCATGGCGGATACGAACGAAACTATGAGCGTTAATGACAAGTCATCGGATGTGATCGATGTAATTATTATTGGCGCTGGATTTTCTGGATTATATATGCTATATAGATTACGACAACAAGGATTTTCAGCAAGAATCTTGGAAGCTGGTGATGGAGTTGGAGGTACATGGTATTGGAATCGGTATCCTGGAGCACGTTGTGATATTGAAAGCCTGCAATATTCATACTCTTTTAGTGAAGAATTACAAAAAGAATGGAAATGGTCAGAAGTTTTTGCACCACAATCAGAAATTTTAAGTTATGCTAATTATGTTGCTGATAAATTCGATCTACGTAAAGATATTCAACTTGGAACGCATGTTACTGCTGCAATATTTGATGATAATCACTCGCGCTGGGAAATACAGACTAAATGCGGCAATCATCTATTAACTAAATTTTGCATTATGGCAACAGGCTGTCTTTCTGCTGCTAGAATTCCTAATATTAAAGGACTCGATCATTTCAAAGGTAATTACTATCATACTGGTCAATGGCCACATGAAGGTGTCAACTTTTCTGGACATCGTGTTGCAGTAATTGGTACTGGTTCATCTGGTATACAAAGTATTCCACTTATTGCTGAACAAGCTAGTCATGTTTATGTATTACAACGAACACCTAATTTTAGCATACCGTCACGTAATCGACCATTGAATTCGGAAGATAGACAATGGTGGCAATCGAATTATCCTGAATATCGGCGTAAAGTTTTGAAAACACGTGGAGGATTTCTGGTAAAAGATATGAACCCGTGTACAGCACATGAGTTAACACTTGACGAACAGTTAAAAACATGTGAAACATATTGGCAATTAGGAGGATTAAATTTTTTAATGTCATTTACTGATCTATTGACTGATAAGAAAGTGAATGATACTGTGGCAGACTTTGTACGAAACAAAATTCGTCAAGTTGTCAAAGATCCTGCTGTTGCTGAGAGTTTATCACCATCCGGTTACGCTATAGGTGCTAAACGTTTATGTGTCGATACGAATTATTATCAGACTTTTAATCGTGATAATGTGACACTTGTCGATCTTCGTAATGGATCCATTGATGAAATTACAGAAACAGGAATCCGAATTAAGGACAAAATTTATGAAGTTGATAACATTGTCTTTGCTACTGGATTCGATGCTATGACTGGACCATTACTCAAAATCGATATTCGTGGACGTTCTGGTAAAAAGCTTCGTGATAAATGGGCAGAAGGACCACGCTCATATCTTGGTATTATGATTGCCGATTTTCCCAATTTATTTACAATAACAGGACCTGGTAGTCCATCTGTATTAAGTAATATGATTTCTAGTATTGAACAACATGTCGATTGGATAGCAGAATGCTTAAACTATATTCGAGTGCATAATTATAATACCATTGAACCAACTTTAGAAGCAGAAAATGCATGGATCAATCATGTTAATGAAGTTAGCAATATGACATTATATCCTACCGTTCAATCTTGGTACACAGGAGCCAATATTGAAGGAAAACCGAGAATATTTATGCCATATGCAGGTGGTCTCAATGTTTATCGGCAGAAATGTAAGGAAATTGCTGATAATGGCTACCAAGGTTTTACCTTCGCCAATAGTCCATCGACATTGTCCGTTACAACTTCCTAATATCTACAACCAAAATATCATAGACAGACAATATTACAAGATCCGGTATTGAAAAACTGTTTGAAATAATATTTTGAATAAATTATCAAGAATAATACGAGGCTCTATAATAGTTTCTATTTTATTAATTTTTATAACTATTTACAGTGAAGCATTAGAGATCATTACGACAATGAGTAAATCGTTATTCTCGTATTGTTGTGCGTCATAAAAGTATTGCAAACAATAATCTTACTTAGATTTACACGGAGCCAATTCAAACTACCTATTTAGGTCTCTCAATTTTCTTCCAATAGGTTAAAATAGCGTCAAAACCGTACTGAAAAGGTTGTTTTTTAGAAAACTCCTCTACATGGATGTGGATCTTTTCTTACATCCACACGCTGAAGAGAATCTAACTGAAGATGAAACACATGCGAGCAACATGTTCGTGAGGCTCAAGCGATATTGCACTAATTATCATCAAAATTTCAAGCTAATTTTGAGAAAATTTTGAAAATAAACCGAGAAATCGATTAAACTTGTTTATTTTTACATTTGTTTTCTTTAGTTTCGAATACTAAATTTCATTTAAATAACTTTATTAGTAAAAAATATTGTTAATGCAAATGGTTTTCACATTCTACATTTGTCAAATTTAAATCTAATTAAAAAATAATTAATAACTTTACAGAATACGACTTTAATTGATTTTCTATTTTGATTGAAACATATTAAAACCAAAATGCGAAAGAGCTTTGAATGGTTCAGTTTCGCAAAGCAAAGTTTGTTCTAGAAAGTATTCTATTTACTTTGGTATAACGGATTTTCTTTTATTTTTGTTTTCTTTTAAAGCAGTTTTTTGAATGAGTGATATGAGATTTTTCTTATTGTAATATTTCATCTTGTACAACATTCAGTACTTTACAATAATATTGAGTAAAAACGATTCTGAGACACAAGCCATATAAACTGAATGTTGTGCCAAAAGCGCTATTAAACTTTGTAAAAACAGAATTTTGAAGTTTTTAAGAAGCTTAAATCATATTTATATAATTTAACCATGCAAGGAAAATCTGAAGATATATTTGGAAACCGTAAAAAATTTTGATTCTAATTAACTGCTTCTAGCTCTAACTAGTTGTCTTTTTGTGCCCGAAGAATGAGCGATTATTGTATGTGAAGGCTTTCCCACTATATGTTAGTTGACTCTGATCTACTTTACGTTACATGATGTCAAATGATGCATTCGATTATTCTTCCCGATTTCCTTTATTGCTTAATTCTTACAATCACAAACAGAGCGAGGCAAAATAAGTTAAAAATAACTTGGTTTGTGACTTGAAAGAAAGTACAAATCAACTCAGACATACATCTGTAACTAAAACGCATATAAAATAAATACGCTGTGAAACTATATTTTTATTTGAATATGAAAATCCAATTTGTTAGTAACACTTGCACATAATTACTACGAGAGCGCATAAATTTTTTCTTAGATATTAAATATAGTGATATCAAAAAGCGAAAATTTAATCATATTGCAGTTATCAAAGATGAATTTAATAATTGTCTTAATGATGATGCTAATCATTCAAATAGATTTATTTTTATTAATCAATTCATAAAGTACAAATCATTGAACAAATTGGCAAAGAAGCTTTTGACAATTCCTACAACGCCATCAATATTTTCTCAATGTGCATTTCTATTTGGACAACACAAGACAGACTTTGCAAACATTAATCATCCTAAATTGTAATCATGGCTTGATGTCAAGCTTTTTCTGGTAAATTGATACAGAACTATATCATGCAATTTGAAAAAAGTTCACTTTCTCATCTTGATCTCGAAGCCAGAAATACAATGCTACAAAATATTTTTGAAAATATGTTTCACAAGTTGACTCTGCTAATTATAAGCTGTTCAGTGTTTTATGCATCAAGATTAGATGAAGCCTCTTTTGCATCGATATCATCAACAATCCCATGGCACATATTTTGATATCAAAAATAAGCCTCAACAATAAAAACCGAACAAGGAAAAACTTATTTTAAAGGATCTGACAAACGAAATCGAGCTTTTTTATTCTCTGATGCACAATCTCATGGACAACTGTCACTGACTAATGTTAGATTCGAGAAATTTCTACCGAGTAATTTGTAAATATCATAGTAATTATTAGTTGAACACTTATTTTTCAAAAAAAAAAATCACTAATACTTGTATTCAATAATTAATTTTGATATGAAAAAATGAAATTTGATCATTTAATATGAAAGTTTCGTATGTTTGTAATAATTCACTAAGCATGTGTTGTATGATCATCTTGATCAGTTTTAATCTCATTTTGTGCAGAATTTACTTATTGAAATGAATGTAGAATTTGTGGGTGTGGATGAGGGGAAGAAGTACATTAACATTCACACCGAATACGTGTATGAATGTCCTTTAAAAAATGTCCTTGAGAAAATGTCCCCGGGTTTCTGTCCTCGGAAAAAATGTCCGTCGAAATTTTGTCCTTTAAAAAATGTCTTTCAGGTGAAATGTCTTCCCGAAAAATGTCCTCCGGAGAAAAGTCCCACATATAAAAAATGTCCTTTACTTTAAGTCAAGTCTAATGTTAAAATGAAATTGGATCAAGATGCAGATGACGCTATAGTATGAAGATATTGGTAGTTATATCACTTTCATAGAGGAAAGATAGAGAGCAGAATGAAGAAATAAAGAACGAAAAAAGTTAATAAAGAACAATTGAATATACTAGTACTAGGTTCACGAACCGCCACGTTGCATACTTTTAAATGGCATCCCTTGATTCGATAATCAATGATGAAACATCATTATCTTCATCATCTTCTTTTTTAACAACATCAACTTCATCATCTCCACCATCATTTTTAATATCCACATCATCATCATTATTTTCATCATCTTCACCCTCATCATCAACAACATCATCTTCGTCATCACCAACTTCGAAACCAGTATCATCGTCATCATTTTTATCACCTAAACCATCCATCGTGAAAACAACATCGAATAAACGTAAAACAATGTTATACATTAAAGGATATCAATATCAGTTGAAAGATTATAATAAAAATAAAACGATTAAATTTTGGCGTTGTGCAAAAAGAGATTGTGGTGTTCTTTTACATACAAATCTCAATGATGAATTTATACGTTATTCTGGAAAAAATATTAATCATAAACATCTTCCAAATCCTGCTGCATTAGAAATACGTGATCTTAAAGAAAAAATGCGACAAAGAGCTGAAACAGAATTAGTACCATTACAAGAAATTGCTGAACAAGAAGTTCGAAATGGTTTATTAACAGGTGATGCACTAGCTAATTTACCAAATATTTTTGAAATTGGTATAGTATAAAGACGTATGTGTGTGATAAATGTACTTAATGTTCTTTTTTCCTCTTTTTAGGTCGTGGTTTAAGTCATGTTCGGCAAAAAAATCTTCCTTCGATACCAAATTCATCATCTTTTGTCATACCCGATAAGTACACAAGAGATTATCTTGATCATCATCGTTTATTATTACATGATAGTACAGATCCACATTTTCAATTTGATTCATCAGATGATATACAGCCATCAGGAAGAATTTTAATTTGGTCATCAGATATTCAACTTCATTTATTATTTAACAGTGAACGATTACATATGGATGGTACATTTTCCACTTCACCTCCACATTTTGCTCAAGTCTTTATTATACAAACAATACATCATGAATCTTGTAAGCTATATTTACGATACAAAACTACTTGGAAATAAAATTACTCATACTTATAAAATTATCTTTTATTTACGATAGGTGTGCCCGTCGTTTACGCACTTCTTCCTGATCGAAAAACACCAAGTTATTTATACTTATTCAACGTCTTATTTCATCACGCAAAAAGATTTAATAAAACATTAGATCCTGTGAATATAATGACAGATTTTGAACCAGGTCTTACAAAGGCAATTTCAATACAGGTACAATTTTAGTCGAAAATAACTATACTTTTGCTAATACAACTTTTTCTACTTTTTTAAATTGCAGTTCCCGGAGAAAACCATCCAAAAGGGATGTTTTTTTCATTTCTCTGAATCAGTTTATAGACATGTTCAATCACAAGGTTTATCATCTAGTTATCTGAATAATATTATGGTTCGAAATGTTATTAAACAAGCAATGGCATTAGCATTAGTACCTCCATCACATGTTCAAGTATTATTTAATGAACTTGGTCAAGAATTAAATGATGATGAACGTGAAGAAATTTCGAGTTTATTACAATATTTCAAGAACCATTGGATGCGTCAAGTATCGATATGGAATGTTTATGAAATACCTGATCGAACAAATAATTATAGCGAAGGTTTTTTGAAAGCAAATAGTATTTTCTATTAATTATATTGCGATATTTTTAGGCTACAACAACAGATTTAAAAGACGTCTAAAGAAAACTCACCCGAATATTTGGCATTTCATAGATTCAATTCGAGAAGAAGTTCATACTATTCATGATTTAATTCAACAAATTAACAGTGGGATGCCGCCTCGAACAAAAAGATCTCAAACAAGGACATCTGAACGACGCATCAAAGAACTTTATGATCGATTTAATCAAAACAAAATTACAGTACAAGAACTTTTACGTGGTCTTTCTTTTTATGTTGCAAATAAAAAATAAAATAAAAGTTAATTTGTTATAATAAATCAAACACGTAAGTGTAACCTTATCTTTAGTTTTGTTAATGTTTTACTAAAAAGACATTTTAATAATGAAGGACATTTTTTCAAGGGACTTTTCTGAAGAAGACCATTTTTAAAGGACATTTATAGTAAGGGACATTTATAGTAAAAGACATTTTTTCAAGGACAGAAACCCGGGGACATTTTCTCAAGGACATTTTTTAAAGGACATTCACGGCTGTTACCTTCACACCCACACTCGATATTTATTGATACATCAACATCTAAATTTATGTTTGCTTGATCGAGACATGAACGTTATCAAACAGATGTTATGGTCATACAGTAAGATTTGGGACATGTGTTGGTGATCAACATTAAATCGACTCATTCTTCTTAGAAAAAATAACGTCTTTCTCATAAAGGAAAATATAATGTCAATTGATAATGTACACAGAATCAAAGAACAATGCTGAATATCATGTACATGTTCTGACACAGTTCACTTTTCATGTATAAATGAATGTGGCTCATCGATTATGGAATTCACATAACTACCTGCAATAGAATTGATTAGAGAACAGAAATACCCTCTTACATGCACAAAAAATGAAAATATCGATGGTATTGTTTACAATAACGGAAATCATGCTCTGATGATTATGAAAAAATCCAATAAAACGGTATGCATTGAATTAAGACATGCAAGGACACTTGACCACCTATGGAAACTTAAACTTAAGATTAAATACTTCCAAAATAGAGCATTGCGCTGTTGTTCGCTCATTTGTAATGAATGGCTCATTGTTGACTATGAGATTGAAGGCTTGCTTCAGATTAGAAAAGATGGAAAAATAAAGAAAACAATTCAATATTATCCAAGTCCCTGTCATGCTGTTTTAGTCGACCTAAATAAGCTAGCTGTATCAACTGCGAAGGGCATAAACCTGCATACAATGCAATAAAATGAGTGACAGTTTTCGATTAGTGTTTTTTTGTTACTGTTCCATTGAAAACCGCGGAATAACAACAATTAACCGTACTTGAGGGTGTGGGTGTTGAGTATTGTTTTTCTCTTCGCTCACCTACATCCACACTCAATGGATCGAATATACATTGTCTCAATCAATCATCGATTTAGCACTTGGAGAAATTTCTTAGTAGGTGAAGTCGACCTATTTGATCGTGATTAAACGGCTAATTTTTCAAAGAAAACAGAATAAATATTTAATGATTCATATTTCAGTTATTTGTAACGTAATTTCTGAGTAAAATTGTCAATAAAAAACATTTAGCTTTCTATTGAAGGTTCGTTCAAGAACAGCAAACCAAAAACGTGTGAGTTATAAGTACTTCACAGTAAAACTAATTCGACTTTTTTCGAAAAACTTGCTGCTTTCTGAGTCTGTTTTGAATGAGATTTCTAACTTGAACAGTACTTTTAGCCAGTACTATATGAATTCAATAAAATATCTATTTTCTCTAAATTCATTATTCAGTAGAATCTACAATAGTTTGTTCTATATGACACACCAGAGTTCTCTATGCTTAAATGAGTATTTTTATTTTGTAACAATGATTCTAGAAATAAATGTAAACATCGAATAAGTTATCAGTTAAACCGTTCAACATAGAATGGAGTGTGAGTGAGTGTAGGTGTGGATGAAGAATACATGGTGCATCATAACAATACCCTACATTCATCATCTAATCAGTATTAAACTATCTTGTGCTTACCTATGGAAATTCCATGAGTAATCTCCGACAAATAGAACATCTCAAGAAAGCTCCTATACAGAATTAGACAAGCAATTCTTTCATGAAAAAACTTCCAAAGCATCAAAGATACTCTTAAGAAATGTTTCAACGGAGTACGAGAAAACACAGTCTTTTTGTATGATTAGAAACGTTTCAAGATGTGATTATGAATCTTATGATTGTTAGAATGAAGAGAATTAGCGAATCATAATGGTCATTGCCAGGAGCTTGATTAGAGAATCCTAGTAAAGAGCTCCCTCGTAGCGAAACGCCAGCACTATTGCCATTCATAACCGAAGCTAACCAATTTTGATAGTACGCAACGCGAGCATACACTCCAGAGTAGTTTGCTCTTCCACAGCCAACTGCATAGTTGACAATACCGACTACATACCATGTCTGATTAAAAATCATCATTGGTCCGCCACTATCTCCTTG